GAGGTTTTGATTGGCATCTGGTTCCTCAGTCATCACCTCCACAGCCTCCCACTCCCCCGACCTGCTGGACTTCTTGATGGCCTCTACTACGCTCTGCATGTACAGACCGTCTTCGAAAGAGGCTGCCATGGAGACAGGTTTATGGTCCCACGTCCGACGGTCTTCCTGGTCTTGGAAAGACTGCCGCAGCGCTTGCACCATGTACACCATTCCTTTTAGGTAAAGCAGCGGGATGTCTTTAAACCCCTTGTCTAAAAGGCCCTTGTTGACAGTCAGAGAGTCTGTAAGCAGCAGTTCTTCTTGGAGCGCGGTGTTTTTCTGCCCGTACAAGTCCGTCCCGCGAGCTATGAGGCGACCAGCAGAGCCAACAACCATGACTTCATGGATGAACGATCCAGGCATGTTGAAGTTGAGAGTCACAGTGCAACAGACACCCTCGCTCATCAACATCTGGAAAAAGCAGAAGTCATCGCTGGTGACGTGGCGGATCCCGCTTATAGCCATGTTCTGCTTCACAAAAGTCTTGAGCAAACCATGGACCTTCTCTGCCCTCCTGCTGATGAGGTGAGTGAGGAGGTCGATGATGTAGGTTCCCATTGTATGCAGGCCACCTCCTCCCATCAGCTCATCGCAGATCCAGTTGTACTTGTGGCTCAGCAGGCTGCCCCCATAAACTCGTACGTCACAGATCATCACGCTGCCCACGTAGTGTTCTTCTATCAACTGCTTCATCTTCACAAAGGCGGGCAGGAAACGGAGAACATTGCCAACGATGCTCATCAGCTTGGGGTAATACCTGGCGGCTGTGACCATCCTGAAGGCATCCACAGAGGTAGCGGCTTTCTCACAGATCACGTTCTTCCCTATTCCTGCAGCACAAAGAAAAAGAAAAATAACATAGCACACACCAGCCAAATATGCTCAGATACTCCAAAAGGCCATCGAGAAACGGGAGTTTTAAAAGTCAGGCTTCCCTGCTGCAATTTCAAAGGCAAAGGTCTGGGAACTAAACCAGGAATGGCAAGTGCAGCAAGACCCAAAGCTGCTTCCAAGATGCTCTGGTTGCGGAGCTGACAAACTCCCACAGAGAGGCTGCACATAAAGAGAGGATTTTTATATCACAAAGGGTAAGTGGCCAAATGGCATCGCAAGAAGACACAAGTTGCGTGTTGTAGCTGTAAAATTATTGGAACACCTGTACAGCCAGAGGGAAAATAACATCATGCACCCTGCAGGGAAGAGATGAGTGATGGGGAGATTCGATTTTCATTTTGTATTTCACCATCGCTAAGAATTTATTATTTCAAATAGATGAATAGAAATGGGATGTAGAAGATACCTAGTGGCCGTGTACATAATACAAGGATCAGAAACAATGTTTGGTGGGTGGATTGTGTAAAAGCATCGCTAATTGGAAAGCAAAACACTTCTGGTCCAGCAGGCTGCAAAGGTGGCTGTGCGAGTTACGCAGACGGGAGCTGCCCTCGCGAGCTGACCCACCGGGATTTTATTCCTACGGATGCGCTTCATCTCGTGCTCAGCCTGACTCAATGTAGGCAGTGAAGAATTCACTTTTTTTTTTTAACTTTAAAGCAGAAAAAGTTATACAAAAGAGCATCCCAGTGCAGGCTTCAACCAAATCCCTGCATTTGATGCTCTGCTGGTGTTCCCTCTTCCTCCTCCATCTTCACCCTTTTCTCATGGCATGGCTTAACTTTTATCGCATACATCAGGTCAGACAAAATACTTATTCAAATATTTTTCAGTGTGACAACCTAGAAGTCTCCCGACATTAACTGGTGATGTCAGACCTGAAGGTCAGTCACATTGTACCACAGTTTCTGCCTAGGAATTGCAGCCATGGCTGCACATGCTGGTAGGCACCTCTCTGAAAGCTTCTCCTTTCCCAGGAGCAGACTGGGCTCCCTGCTCAGAACAGCTTCTAAGTGACAACCCAACGAGGAGATACCAGCACAAACACTTCAGCCGGTCTCTGGCACACGAAGGGAAGCCAGATCCCACACTGCAGCTCCTGCTCTCAGCACTCCACCTCCCGGCTACACCCAGCGAGCCTTTTGGGAACCATCAGAGCGGTGCAGGGGCCAGCAAGCTCCCGTGACACATCATCGTGCCCAGCTCAGCCAGGGGACAGCTACGGCTACGGCAAACCCCGAACCTGTGTTTCTAACAGACACAAGCAAAAGCCTGTCAGAAAATGACAAGACTACAATTTTTAGTGTTCTCTCCCAGAGAAATCCCCTAAATAGATGTGAGCCAACAGAAGCTTTAACGAGCAAAGGGGACGGTCAAACTCCCTGGGCACACCCTGGCTGCCCACTGGTAACCCTCTGTGGCGGGGACCATTGCTGACCCTCCCGCCCCCAGTCCTGCTCCGGAGACAAGGCACGATGCTCTGTTCGATATTCTGCACGGCCAGCTTGCCACGGTTTAGCCCAGCCGGCAACTAAACACCACCCAGCTGCTTGCCCACCTTCTCCACCCCCAAGGGATGGAGAAGAGAATTAAAGGGGAAAAGGGAGAGACCCGTGGGTTGAGAGAAGAACAATTAAATAATAATAATACATGAATATATGTAAATGCGTATAATGACAATAATATATCCAAACGAGTGGTGCACAGTGTAATTGCTCACCACCCAGTGACCAACACCTGTCCCATCCCAGCAAACGATCCCAAAACAGAAAGTCCCAACATCGCAATCCTGGAGAAGCGAGAGGCCCAGAGAGAGAGAGAGCACGCACTCCAAGAGACCGAGAGTGAAAACCCCTGGAAGAGCAAAGGCCTTTCTTTCCAGCCAACCCTCACCTATACACTGGGCATGACGCCACGTGATATGGAATACTTCATTTGGCCAATTTGTCCCTCAATCCTAAATCTAAGTTCAAATCCTAAGGGCAGTTGTGGCCCTCTGTCCCGGCTGTGCTCCCCCCCAGCCTGTTGTGCTCCTGCACACTGGCAAAACACGGGAAGCTGGAAAGCCCTTGATGTCTCAGCACCAACTGTAACCATCAGTGCGCTGTCGACGTTTTACTCACAGCAAATCCCAGAGTAAATCCGAAACCCAGAGCTCTTCTGGCTGCTACAAAGAAGAACCAACTCCATCCCAATCAAAACCAGGACACAGCTGAAGCATCTTGAGAAGCTTCAGTGCCTGGTTTACCTGCCTTGTTTAAGCAACACTTATCTCAAGCCAAGTTACAGTAAAATACAAGCGAAAAGAAAAAGTAGAAGGATCTTCACAGCAGTTCTCAAAGCTGGCAGAAAATAAAAGCGACTCCTGATCCACGTTCGCACGGGGCACCGCTCTGCAGTCAGTGCTCTGCCAGCACGTCCCTCCCTGCTGCACAACCCCACGTGTATTTGGCGGTGCAGGAGCTGGCTCAGGGCACAAACCCAACATGGAAATATTCACTCATCTTGGCTCTTTTTCGGGCAGCTTATTGCCCCAAGTTGGCTCTTCAAGGAGCCTGACGGTGTCCACACGGAAGGGGCTGGGTCCCTGCAGTGGGCAACTGAGAGCGGAGAGGGCCGAGCCAAAGGAGACCCCCCTGCCTGCTGGGTCAGCCACGTCACACCAGGCAGTCGATCACACTGGGCTGCCCTTGTCCTGCCACCCACCCTTGTCCTTGTGTCAGTGCCGTGCTACAGTGCAGGCTGAGCAGCTTGAGGAGCAAGAACTGCCTGATGCCTTTGTTTGGGAAGGCAGTGAGCGTGGCACACCGACAGCTTGGCACAGCCCACCGAGTGCTGCCGGCGTGCCAAGTCGGAGTCCTGGGTACACCGTAACACCTCTGGGGCAATACTGTGGTTGCCTGCAGTGGGATGCCCACCCAGCCGTCCCTAAGCTCACGGAGATGGCCGTGCAGCAAGGACGAGGGCCAAGTCGGAGATGGCTACGAGGTCCCTTACCAACGTAAGGTCCATGCCTTCTGTTTTCCGAGGCAGAGTAACTTACAACCCTCATCTTGTCACTATTATTTTGATAATCAATAACCTGAACTTGGTACCATACTGTTTTCTTAAATCACCACTGCAAAACTGTCTGTTGAGGTCCCAACCAGCTAGGAGACCTGAGAGCCACCACAGGGCTCTGGTGCTCCTCAGAGCCCTTTGTGAACCAGTTCGGCTCACCATTGGAACCCAGTTTAGAAAAGGAAGCTTCCTCTTTCCACGCAGGGGGTTAAATCAGCTCACAGATGGGTCTAAGCCCACAGAAGGGGTTGCATGACTGGAAGGAAGGAAGTGGAGCTGTGGAGTTGGGTCTTCCCACCTTAGACAGAAGGCTGTCCTAGCAACATGCCTCAGGGTCTTCTCTGTGCATACCTCGGAGCAAACCCTGTGCAGGGAGCACATCAGCTTCTGCAGACCATCCCTTCACTGAAGTCCTCCTAGGACACTAGGGAGAGAAAGAGTCAATCTTCCTCCCTAGAACTTATTTCATTTTGTCCTCACCCAGGAAACAGGCTGCCCACCCTGCCTCATGACAGTCTTGGCAGATGGACGTTATTCTGCCAGCCCACCCCACCGTTACCAGCTCCAAGCCCCCGTGGGCTCTGTAAGCTGCAATGCTGGTCCCTCAGGAAGTGCTTCTTGCTCTCAGTGCTGCGTTCGTTACTGCTGAATGTGAAATGATGTACCTAAGGCAACCGGCTAAGCAGTGAGAAGGTAGGCAGCTCTCCACCAGCTCTTCCACTGCTCGTGACTCTCATTAACTCGGAACGGCTTCAGGCTTCAGCATCCCCCAGAAACTGCCCCAGACAGGCCGTACGGCCCTACGTGCAGAGCAGCCACACAACCTGACTCACACACCCCGACCAAAGCACCCGACAGCGATCAGGCCTGACCCCGAACAAACTGCTCTGCTCCAGACACACATGAAACCACCTCTCCACGAGCGCGTTTCCAGGTGCACCCTTCGCAGCAGTCGTCACTAGCTCTGCGCACAGGAGAAACCGTTCTTATTTATGAATTTTTAACTGGTGGTTGTAGTAAGAGGGAGGGAAAAAGAGAACAAAAGGTCACTTTTGCCAGGAGTCCTTAAATAAACTATCCACTCCCGCGTTCTGGGGCAAAAGCACCTGCTAGATTCCAAGAATTTTCAAATCAATTCCTGGTTTAGTAAATAAACTAAATGTTTAAAAAGAGGTGTCTCAACTCATTGACGTAACATAGCCAAATCATGGCTTCACTCAATGAAATACCAGATTTAAAGGGTGTTCACATCCTATGGAAGCAATCAAAAAACAAGAGGTGAGCCTTACTGGACAGCAGAATAAACTGGAGTATGTTCTCCTAAAGGAATCTTATGTCTCTAGTCAGATCCACTCTGTCCATCCGCAACGAGGCCTCAGCTTCTCCTGCAGCTGCTTAGCCACACCGCATCCAAAACTGGCCATACAAGAAGTATTTTACAGTCTGGGTTAATAAAATGCAAGCACAGAAAACCTGCTGCTTTTTCATGCTACCTGGTGGGCACTACCCAGAGCCGTGATAGGAGCTGGGGATGGAAACAGGTCCCAGCAACGGCCAGGACCCCTCAGCCCACTTCTTCCTCCTGGTAGGGAGGGTGCCAGTAAGGGCAGGAGGAAAGGGAAAGGACCCCGCAGCCTGGTGGGGCTTTGGGAGGCGGAGTGTGCACGAAAAGCTGGGAGAAGTGCAGCCCAAACCTTGAAGAGCTGGCTCTCTCCACAGCTGATAGGCACATGAGCTGGGGTCTCCTCTCTGCCTCAGGCTGGGTGCAAACCAGCAGGCCACCAACACCACACCCGGCCACCTCATTGAGAAGGTCCTTCGTAGCCAGGGGGCCACTGAGTAGCCTGGATGGGCCGGGAGGGACACGCAGGTGAGCAAATGCAACAGGCAGGGGCACCCATGCACAGAGGTGTCCCTGCAGCGCAGTCAGGAGGGGACCGGCCGCGTGCCACGCAGCCTGCCCAGGCAGCGCCCGGAGTGGGCTGGGCTGGGACAGCCCGCTCACCGTGACACCTACCACGTCACCTCTTTGGCTGTTCCTCTGCCTGGCCATCACAGCCACAGCTGCCCATCCAACGCTTTCCACGAACAGCTGAAGTGCCCAGCCTTGCCTCCCTCTGCACGAGTTCCAATGTCGGCTCAAGCCACCACATCTATTTATCCCACGTAAATATGTCCACTGAACTGAAGCCCCAGTTCTTTCCTACCCTGAGTAAGGTCAGACACCTGAGGCTGCACCTGGGAAGATGTACGACTGGCCGCTGTTGAAGCGCACCAGACCATTGCTTTGTCCACTGGAAGAAGTTGGGAGTGTCTGAGGAGTCTTCCCAAACAACCGGCTGTTTCAGACGTGCTTGCTTTGGGAGCTTCCCAGTGAATGAACGCGCATTCCAAAGCACACTCCATTTCATTTCTCGTTTGCCTACGGATTGAAAAGACCTCCATGCTACTCGTTACGGAGACGGGAAGCACAACATGCAACGAGCACTCACGGCATGCCCGTTCATCCTGTTTCAGAGCAGGAAATCCAGATTTGACACAACACAAAGCAGTGATAGTGTCCTTTCTGACTCCTTCCCTCATAATTAACACATACGTGCTATAATTTGTAGGGACTCCACAAAATCAGGGAGCTAAACAATCTATGTTGCAAAGATGTCTTAAACAATGTAGGCAACCAGTACAAACCACGAGAGACAAGCAACAGGTTCCTCTGTAGCCACTCCACAAACCACCCGTTTGGCAGCCGGGCTCCGTACGCGCAGCAGCGTTATCTTCAGCATCCTGAAGATAAAATTTTACTCTGAGGACTTCTCATGCTCTGCCTCCCTGAACTTTGCCTCATGCACAAACATCCCATGTTTTACATTCCACCCCAGCTGGTAACTCAGCTCTGGGCTCACCTAACGCAAAGGTGGATGCATTTTACCTGTGGGACATGAACCACAGCACAGACGTTTCCTGAAATTAATTTAGTTCCCCTGAGATCAAAAGAAGTGCAAATTTTAGGATAGCTTCTTGCTTTGCCGGTTGTGGAGATAAACCATAAGATTACACGGATCTTAATTTGAATTATCCTCTGGGCTTTGATCTGTTCTGTCTGGTGCAGGAACTCAGTCCAGTGCTACTGCTTTGTCCTCAGCATGCCGAAGCCCTACCTAGGCTTGTTTATGGATGGCAGTCAGCAGTAAATTTATGCAAACGAATCGCACCGCCTGGAAAAACTGGGTCTGTCTCTCCAGAAAGAAAAACGTAAGCACTTAAAAAAAAAAAAAAACCACAAACAACCAAAAAACCCCAAAGAAAGTACTAAAAATTATACAAGTAAGTACTAAAAGTGTAAGCACTTCAAGAACAAACAAAAAAGCCCCACCAAAACAACACACAAGACCATTACCACTGCGCCACATCCATCTTTCCCAAAGCCCGGCCTCTGGGCCAGTAAACACCAAACCATTATAGACAATTCACAGCCAATAATTCTCCAGTTATAAACATCACAGTATCAATCTGAACTTCCGGAGAAAACATACTTGCCACCTTTGGCCCTACCCTGCCCTTGTGTTCCTCCAATGACCCCTCCAGCACTGGCTTAAAGCACGTCACGACACTCTTGGTAGCAGGTCGATAAACACTATTGTGACAGAAAAGCTGACAGACCAGGTCAGCATCATACTGGGTCCCAGATGCCTGCACCGGTTTGCAGATCAGAACATTTCAGGATAGAGAGGAGCAAAGAAAAACTACTACTTCATCCGTTGATTTCCCGAGCTTTCTGGGCTTTCGGCTTCTCCCCCCCTTTCCTCCTTAAGCCATCCTACAGGTTCCCAGCCTTCAAAGAAAGAAACTCGATTCATTTCGGTTAATAATTCATAACAGGTTCAGGCCTCTCCATTTAGCCCACTCGACCATCATGAGCCATGAGAACCAGTTAAACACTTACTACTCTAACAAACGTAGAGCTTTTAGCATATTTAAAGAGAGAAATTCTAAGTTACAGTTCCAATATTCCGAAGTTGGAATCCCTTAAATTCCAAGGACAAGGTAAACACACAAATCTAACCCCGCAGAACAAACCAAAACAAGCTCAGAATCTCACTCTGCATATCTAAGTGGCACTGCAAACCTTTGTGCAGGGAGTTGGTTACTTCCAAACCAAATTGCTGTGGAGCAAAGAGGCCAAGAACAACAAACCACCCTGGCTCACATGGTTTGAGACATTACCCGTCCTAAAATTAACTCATGTGGATCTCCTGTAAACACAGGAAAAATATCACACTTGTTATTTCCAGAATTACATGCAAACTCACAGCCACGCTGTGCTACGTGAGAGGACATTAACACTACAGAGTCCCACGCTGGAGAATTAAGAAATGTCAGGATGCCCAAGCAGCTCCCTGCCCAACCAGTTCGGGGTGGTGTTCCTCCTCTCCCAGACCCCTTCACCCAGCCCATCTCGCTGGATTCCTCCTGTTGTCCTCCAACTTCTCCTCCTCCTCCCCCAGCACCTGCCCTCCTGCATCAGGTGGAAGAATCCTCCCTGCACCCGGGACCGTACCGGCCTGCTACGGACACCAGTGGCTAAGGAGAGCTCCAGGCGGTGGCTGGGTCACAGCACGCTGGCTCAAAACAGGGCCTGCACAGAATTTGGCTCCTACGAAGGCTCTACGGAGCACATGCAGTCATTTTTTCCAAGGCTTTTAACTTTCAAGTGTGGTTTTATCTGTGGGGAAAACAGAAAACAGAGCTGAACAATCCTCCCACCCCAGGGAAATCTCGGTTTCCTATTGTGGGACGTGGGAAGATTTGAAATGAATTAAGCAACTTAAGTTGCATGAGTTTGTTTGTTGGGTTTTTTGTTTGTTTGTTTTAAATGGGCATAAAAACATTTTCCTCCCTCATCATCATCTCTGAAACAGCTCGTTTTTATTAACACCTGCCCATGATAAATTCAGTCAGAAGAAGACATGAGATATTTTAGCCCGATCGGTTCAAGATTTGCAAAGCTATAAGCAACTATAAAGAGCATTTTTACAAAAAATTCTAGGTAACCTTTCTTGCAGATGGCGCTACCAACGCCACACAACACCTTCAGCACTGCATTTGCACCGTGGTGCAACCAGAACTGTGCTGGGATAACACTTTCCAATTTCAATCTGCCAGCGAGCTATGGATTTTCGGTCCCGCTCCAGAGACAAAAAGGTACCTAGAGCCTTCACAGCAATTTGCCGAGTTAGCGGTGGAGGGATATTGATGCAAACCAAATCTACGTCCTGGTGAAGCAAGACATCGTCCGTCCGACTCGTGTAGAAGGGGATGTTCATTTCCTCTGCCAGCTGTCTGGCTTCCTCTTCAGTCTTCCCCCAAAGCGCTTCGATGGAGAAGCCTTCTGCTCTCAGCAGGGGTACCAGTACCCGGGCGGTGCTGCCAGTTCCAAACACGCCCACTCCAGGAAGCATTTTCATTCTGCGTTCATTCAAGCATTACGGTCTACACGCAGGCCTTCGATAAAGCGTTCAGCTGCTCAGCTTTCCGTTCCAACCACGGTTCCTAAAACATGAAAAGTTACAAGTCAGTAACCACAAAAGGCATATTTTGCTATCAAGCACATCTCAAACTCATCTAGCCTGAATCCTTCTACCCTTCACACAGCATTCAAAATTCCCAAAGATCCTCATGAAAAAACCAACCCCCCACAAACTCGCAGTCCTTAGAGAAGCAGTACTAAGGGACAAGTCTAACAATCCCACTGACAAAGTCAAGAGTGCCTCCTGAGCTTCAAAACTCAGGACACATGTCCAGAAACACACCTGAGCACGCCAGGACGAACCAGAGACGGCAAGGCACCAACTGGGAGCGACAGGAAGCATCACTGGGACAGGACACGGATATCGCATCGGCAGTGAGAGCAGTGCCACTGTAATTGTGATGATATAAGTCTCTAAATGAGACAAGTTTGTGAGATGAGGTCGTATCTTTTATTAAACTGGCTGAGATAGCTGGAAACAACAGGCAAGCTTTAGGGCACATAAAGCTTTCTTCCAAATTAAACACACAAACTGAAAGCAATGACTTGGAACTTAATTTTATGGCATAGTTAAGCCACTCCAGAGAACATCTAGAAAACACATCCTGCGAGGAAAGCCTGGATTCACCGAGCTGCTTTAGCCTGGGGAGAAGGCTACAAGGAGACTAATGTCAGTGTTCGACTACGCAAAAAACTGCTTTCCGACAGGAAAAGGGCGCTCCTCTGTGTCCGTTGTGGGTAGTGAAGTTTTACTGAACTCAGGACAGTCAAAAATATCTCCTGCCTACGCCATGTAGTCTCCAGGAGCGCAGGGCTTTGCACACAATTACAGTCCCTACACACAAACACCTGGTTAAGTCACACTTTTATTGTTCTGTAAGTAATTTCTGGTAAATTGATCCCTTTGGATCCCTCCTTGCCAGTTTGACTCAGAGCTGCTTCTGGCCACAACTGGCTGAACTGCCTTCAGCACTCACTTGAGCTAGACTAACTTTTGAGGAGAGATGTCGGAAGTCTCCTCAATCCGTGCCACTGCAACCTAGGAGCTGGCTTTTGCTCTGTGCCTTTCTGAATTCTCATCTACTACACCCACTGTCAACCTTTTCCGAATGATTTTTTTTTTTCTGCAGAAAGAAAAAGTTTTCTTAATTTTATAAAGATGAAAAATTCCGTTTTCCTTAGCAGCTTAACATGAAAAGGCAAAGACCATGTTTAAAAAGAAAACCGGTACCAACATCAGATCGAAAAATCCCAAGAAAGGCGATCTGTTTCAGAAGGAGTCACATCCTAAAAGACTCACACCAAGTCACGACGTGCAAAAGCAAATCCTGACACAGCATCAGGAGGCACCAGCAGGCAAGTCAACCCCCCCACACCGCAAACGCTTTGTATGGCACCAGCATTTCGTTAGTCTGGGGGTGCCCATGCCAGCCAGCAGAACAAAACTGCCCAATTTCTAGGTATTTGTGTGGTACAAACTAAGCTAGGAAACAGAAACAGCAGCACTTGAGAATATTTTACCTTCTAAAACACACAACAAATATTTACAGATGCGATAAAACACCTTATTAAATATTTACTGAATTATTTCAGTATGGTTTTTGCTTGTTCTGGGTGATGATAGGTTTTTGCAGTGATACAGTCGTGATAACACGATACAGTCTTTATAAACAAGAACAAAGTTCACTGGAATTTTAATTAACTCATTTTTATCCGACACTGAGCAGAACTCTCAAATGAGGATGGTATTAAAAGGATCTTGAAAACATCTACTATTATATGTAAAAAGGTAATTTAGTGGCAGGAAGGATGGCTTGTATTCAGGCTTGTTTTGTATAAATGATGCAAACAAACAAACAAGGTCCTGCAGCTGGACGTACAATAAATAAAACTGTTGAAGTTCCTACACATCTATATGTGGCAGTTTACAGGCTGGAGGAAGAAAAAGTAAAAAGAGCATCATCTTCTTTTGCACAGACACAAACTGAGCAAGGTGGAACGGAGCCAAGGTGAGCGTGTGCCTGCTTGCACCAGGCTGCACGGACTTGCTCACCGATGTCAAAACTGCAGGTGGCAAAAGTTTGGAAAAGGCTGAATTTTCTGAAAACGCGATGAAGAGCGCACTGTAGCGCTTACCGTGCGGTAGGAGACTCCTGCTGCTCGGATGAGCTGATTTCTGGAACGCTTGCTCATTTTAAAAAGTTCATCTTTAAAAAGTTTTACTTTTTTCTGTTTTCCGTTCAACTGCCTCCTAAAAAACCCAGTCAGGTGGAATTCATTTTAAACCCATTTATTCCCAAAACGCACCGTGCCGCTGCGACGGTGCCACTAGCCGTTACCAGCACAAACCCACAAAAACTGGTGTTTCACTTCCATGGAGCCCAACTTCTGATGATACCAGAACTCAAGGGCACCAGTACCACGACAAACCAAGAACCAGCCAACTCAGCCTCAGCAACGACTTCCAGCGAGGCAGCTGTGCTCTTCCCCAACTGGGAGGTCCTGGTTTGTCAGGATGCTCGTGGCAGGATGGATGCGGATGCCGAAGGGCAGCGAAACCACGGTCCTGGCACAGGGCAAGGCGCAGAGCACGCGTGGCGCAGGCAGAACTAGAGTAAATGCTGCCAGAGGTGGCACGGGAGGTTCAGCAAGAGCTTTTGAAGAGGGGCATGTATTGGTACACCCCCCACACACACATTCCAGTGCTGCTAACTGGCAGATGAGACATTGGTCACCCCGGGGAAGGAATCTAAAAATCAAAACGAAGCCACAGCTGAGGAAAGGGGCAGCTGTAATTAACAGTCCATGAAGAACAGCAACCCCAGAAGAGCAGCACTGTGCCACCGCAGAAGTCCCCAGGGCACTGATCTCCGGAGATCTATGAGCACTTCTAATGCTTCTCCTCTAAGGAGGGGAGAAAAAAGCAGAACTGGAAACAACACAAAGGTGATCAAAAGCATAAAAAAATCTTCTGCCTAAGGAAGACCTAAGTAAAGAAGATTAAGGGAGGATTTTTGGGCTATTTGCAGCCCAGAAAGCCAACCACGTCCTAGGCTGCATCCAAAGCAGCGTGGGCAGCAGGTCGAGGGAGGGGATTCTGCCCCTCTGCTCTCCTGAGACACCCCTGCAGTTCTGCGTTCAGCTCTGGGGTCCCCAACATCAGAAGGACATGGAGCTGTTGGAGCGGGTCCAGAGGAGGCCACAAAGATGATCCGAGGGCTGGAGCACCTCTGCTATGGAGACAGGCTGAGAGAGTTGGGGCTGTTCAGCCTGGAGAAGAGAAGGCTCCGGGGTGATCTTACTGCAGCCTTCCAGTGCCTAAAGGGGCTACAGGAAAGCTGGAGAGGGACTTTGGACAAGGGTGTGTAGTGACAGGACACAGGGCAATGGCTTTAAACTGAAAGAGGGGAGATTTCGATGAGATCTAAGGAAGAAATTCTTCCCTCAGAGAGTGCTGAGGCACTGGCACAGGTTGCCCAGAAAAGCTGTGGCTGCCCCATCCCTGGAAGTGTTCAAGGCCAGGTTGGATGGGGCTTTGGGCAACCTGGTGTAGTGGAAGGTGTCCCTGCCCATGGCAGGGGGGTTGGAACTAGATGGTCTTGACGGTCCCTTCCAACCCAAACCATTCTGTGTTTCTATGAAAAATTCCTCAGTCCGGCAAAGACGCAACTGAGAGGGATGTCACAGAAGTGACACAGAGTGACTTAGGACGGAGGAAACCAAATTTTTCACTGTCTCTCCCAATATAAGGACAAATCAAACGGAGCTCAGCAAAGGCAAGATCAAAACAACCTAAAGGAGGCGTGGTAAACTGTGAAACGCCTTGCCACTGCATACTGTAGATGTCAGCTGCTGAAAGGAGTCAAGGAAGACTAGACAAGTTCAGGAACCCACTTTGGGAATACATTGCAACCAGCATTTACATGACCAAACGCAATGAAAAACCTGCCAATTCCTGCAGGACCCAATTCAATTCCACACTGAAGCAGTCAGGGAGCTCAGAAGGCAGAAGCCTCAAAAAATAAATATTACAGTCAAGGACTACAGCGCCCAGAAGCTGTTGTGAACCATTACAGATGGCTAAAGGTAGTAAAAGAATAACAGCTTTTGCCAAAAAAGACACTCGTTAGTGTAAGACTGGCTCTGCAGAAGAACAAGGCAATTCACGCTTCTCCAACTTATCCTAAAAAGTTCCATTTTGGTTCCAAGGAAGGTGAGGCACACAGTGGAGGGGCTTATCAGCAACAGAGGAACTGTTTTCACCCAGTCGGTTGTTGCTGTTGAGTTTGCAAAGAAAGCAAAGACAAGTAACAAGGCCTGTACAGGTAATAGAGTTGTTACTGGTTGTGACATCCTCATGGATCTTAAGGCTGCACGAGAAACTTTCCCAAAATCTATACAGGAACTACTCAGATTTTCACTTTGCATTAGGAGTTTTGCACCAGTGACATGAATGCACTGCAGAGACCTCCTCTGAAAACAGATGCTGCCCCAGAACTGTCAGTTCTGCAAGGACCCCAGCAGAGGTGACAGAAGTGCTGGTAGAAACTGCAGGCATCCCTGTGAAAGCCAGCAAGCTCTCTGCAGGAATAGAGCTGGGAGAACTTCACTGGTCCACTGAAGCCAGACATCACTTCAGCCTGGAGAAGAGAAGGCTCTGGGGAGACCTTCCAGCACCTTCCTGTGCCTAAAGGGGCTACAAGAAAGCTGGAGAGGGACTTTGGACAAGAGTGTGCAGTGACAGGACAAGGGGCAATGGATTTAAACTGAACCAGGGGAGATTTTGATGAGATAGAAGGAAGAAATTCTTCCCTCTGAGGGTGCTGAGGCACTGGCACAAGTTGCCCAGAGAAGCTGTGGCTGCCCCATCCCTGGAAGTGTTCAAGGCCAGGTTGGATGGGGCTTTGGGCAACCTGGTGTAGTGGAACGCGTCCCTGGCCATGGCAGGGGGGTTGGAACTAGATGATCTTTGAGGTCCCTCCCAACCCAAACCATTCCGTGACTCTATTCTGTACGTGCAGTCA